GCAGGAATGTTCAGGGATGCTCAGGGCCCATGGTAGACTGCCTGTTTCAGACACATAGTAATAAGTGGGTATTGATATAAGAACAGAGGAACAAATAGGTCAGTGAGAAAAAAAAAATGAACTCAGAGAAAGAACATTTATAGGTGAGAATTTAATATATGATAAATATAGCATCACAAATCAAAGGTGAAAGGGTAGGTTGTTTTATACATGATGTTAGAAAGGAAATAAAATTGGGTCTCTAAATAATAACCCATATAAAAGTATAATCTAAATAGATTAATAAAAGATAAAATAGAAAAAAATGTTAGAATTTATATGTGTGATTTAGAGGTAGAGAGAATTATTTTTAAAGTACTTAAAAAGCACAAATCCTCAGGCAAAAGTTTGACTATAATTACATCAAAATTAATTATTTTTGTTTAATAGAGAAGAGTATGGATAGAGTTAACAGAGTAATGGCAAACTATAAGAAAACATCTAAAACTGACAATGTAGAAATATACAAGGAATTTATTTAAGTCCTCAAGAGACAGATAACCCAAGAGGAAAAAAAAATTGCAAAAATGATAGACAATTAAAATAGAGCAAATCCCAAGCACTACTAAGAAAATCAAGAGATGTTCAAACTCAGTAGTAATCACAGAAGCAAATAAAAATACAAATAAAATATCATCTTACCCATGTAGAATATAGGGATATAGGAACTCCTGTTGGGAGAAGAATGATGAAACATTCTCAAGAGCTATCTGTCAGCATTTAATCAAATTAAGTTTACATACACTTTATGACCCAGCAATTACACTATGAGATATGTAGCCCAAAGAAATTCTCCCATAAATCTACAAGTGAAAAACATAAAAATGCCCATCGTCACTTTGGTTATTGTGATAGGGATTCAGAGCAATACGAGTATCCATCGCTGACTGGGAAAGTGGATAGATCAGTTTTGTTGGATACACATGAAGTTTTATGAAACATTTAAAAAGAATGGACTAGATGTTTCACAGAGCACCATGGTCAGCACTTCGGTGCTGAGTAAAAGAAGCAAAATGGCATCTATATATAATTTCTATGATTTCCATAAATCAAAAAGGCACATAGAACGAACATATTTTGTAAGACTTCATATAGTCAAATAATATATATGAAATATCTTAGAATGTTTGCCAGTGGTGAATGAGGAGAATGAAATTTGAGAATGGGGACAAATGAGAAGAAAAAGAGAGAGAAAGGGGTTGGGGGGAGAGAGAAAGAGGAATAGAGGGAGAGAGTTTTCTCTTTGGGAGCAGTTTGAGAAAAATGACCTCAAATGGGGGTAATAACAAAAGAAAAAGCACATAGGCAGAAAAGCATAAGTCTGTAAAAACAAAGGTAAATAACCCAATTTGAATGGAACAACATAGTATTTCAAAAGGAATAGGAGAAGATAAGCCTTAAAAGACCATGGACTGCTTTTATTTGTTTTATCTAAAAAATAAGCTATAAGGTTTACTAATGTTTAATATATAGATTGACCATGAAATTCTAGCTCACAACTGAAGACATTTGGGATCAATATGGAAGAAAAACTTTTAAAAGCCAAATTTTCTGTCATTTCTCCTTAAATCTAACCTAAATCTCTTCTGTCTCAGTGCAGCTAACATATACTTGCACTTCCTATGGCTCTGTGATGTCATTTCCTTTTGTAGCTATTAGTTCCCTGCAGTGTTTGTGCTTTACTCAACCCAGGCTGTCTGATAACAGATGTGATTTCCAGCTGTGTCTATATACCAACCACAGTGGGTTCATTAATAACAATTATTAAGTACTTTATGTTACAAATTGAGCCTGTAGCCATAGAGAAAACATCCAGTCATTTGTTTTATGGTCTCTTGTCAGAGCTAACTATAAATTCCCATTATCTCAACATTATCAGCATTGCAAAATGGATCTAAGCATGAGTCATAAATAAAACTACCAAACAGCTCAATCATTCTGGAGAGAACAGAGTATAAATTAACACTTGACGATGTTATGTTATATAAGAACTTAAATAATAGCTTAGGCCTTCCTGTCAGCTAATTATGCAAATTATTATTTTTAAGACTTTCATTTGTAGTTGCATGGCTTGTGCATTCATTTAGACATGCAATTAGAGTTCAATAAATATGCTGTCCATGCATTGCCCTCCACAACCCAAGAGTTCCTACTAATGAAGTATGAAGAACAGTGAAAATGAAGAGAGAAAAGTTTCAACTGAGATAATGTCTCTTAGGACTATAGGGAGTAGGAAAAAAATCACACTTTCTCTGAATACTGCATTTCATAGGAAAAATTAAATTGAGGAAGATTAATAGAAAAGGACCCACAAACTGTATGCATTATTAGTTCCTGGTGGAAGCCCATATGGATTTTCAGTCAATTGTAAAAATATTTATTTAATTCTCTCTGTGTTGGGTCCAAGCTGTCTTAAATGATGAAGACAGAATAGAAAGAACACATACATTTAATGTGTGAGAGAAAAAGAGCCAATAAACACATGAAAATTGACAAAACTCACTAGTAACCAAAGAAATGCAAATTAAAACTATGAGATTGTTCATGTTTTAAAAGTTAATCCCAAGTTTTGGGGAGAAGGTGATGTAATAGGAAATCCAATCATTTGCTAAACCTAGAAAACTATTTTGTAATGTCTACCAAAAGTTCTAAAAGTGTCCATTACTTTTTTTAATTGAGGTATACATTACATCAATTTCAAGTATACAACAAAATGACTTCATATTTGTATTTACTGTAAAACAAACACCACAAGTCTAGTTAACAACCAAAATATAGAACACTTCACAAATTTGCATGTCATCCTTGTGCGGGGGCCATGCTAATCTCCATATCTTTCCAATTTTATTATATGTGCTGCTGAAGTGAGTGCAAGTATTCATTACCTTTGATCAGTAATTCTAATTTTGGAAAATTTATTAGTTACAGATTTAGTATATGAATTTAATGACGTTGAATGTATAATGGCAAAAATAGCAAATAATACGATATATTAGGAGAATGAGAGAATAACTAAAATAGAATCTAAAATGAAATGCTTAAGTAACTCATGGCACATGCTGATGAACTACAGTGCTGCCATAAAAAATTTTGTGAAGATTGTTTAATATAAAAATGTTCACACAGTACTTTAAATAGATTATAAAATGTTATACATAGTGTCATTTCAAATATTAATTATATTATGAAGTTTTTACACACATATATACATGCACCCATATACAAGACTAAAAGAAATATCCTAAAATATTTAAAGATTTTAGTAATGAACTATGGATAATTTTTATCATCTTAATAATGTTCTATATTTTCTAAAATTTCTTTTAGTGAGAGAGATAGCTTATAACAAATCTGGCTAATAAAGATTTCAATTCACAGTTTTTTCCATGCCTTTCATAACTTGTATATGATGAACCTGTCTAACTCTGTCTTTTACAAAGTCCAACATAAAACTGGTCAAATCCATTTTTCACTGCCTCCAAATCATGCTCTGTTTTCCAGAATCAGCTTTAGCTCAAATTACATTTCATGTCCATGCTCAAGATAGTTATATTAGCTGAAGAACATTAAAGTTGGAATCTTAATTAATTTAATCTCTGCCTAAAATCACATAGAAACAGGCATACCCCAACATTCAAGTTATTACCCCCCTAAAAATAATTATTCTTCTTATATCTCTTAAAGCACGTGAAAAGGAGGTCCAATTTATCACCCACAGCCACCCTGCTGTAAGTTCATTGTGCTTCATCCATACTTCTCTCGCAGCCCAACAATGTTAGCTTTCTTCCACTGTGCCAATCCAACCTTTCTCACCTTCTAACCTCCCCCTTTTTAAGAGTAATTTGTCCTCTTTGGCTATGTTAACTCCCTTTTCCACATCACATTTTTATTTCTGACTGGTCTCCTATGAAAGAGTTTCCACATCTGTAAAACAATAAAATAATAAACTCTGTGCTACCAATATCATAAGGTGTGAGGTTTAAATATTTTAAAACTATAAGGCACTGTACATGTTGTGGCTATTGTACACCCTTTTTCTCATTCACACAACAGGTATTACTAATATGTAACCAGTCCTTTGCCAGTACTCTTTTTAAGTATGGAAGTTATACTTAATTATTCCCCCTCTTTGCAATCCTGAACTGAATTCATCAATAATTCTAGTCTACCTCTAAAATGTATCTCAAGTCATTTATAGCTCTTTATGTCCATTAGCACAGGTCTAACCTGAGCATCCATGATCTCTCACATGAACTACTGACGTTAACTCCTGACTTGTCTTCCCATCCACTCCTGTCCCCTCCGCCTTATTACTAATATAAGGAGGCAAAAAAAATTTTAAGTTAATCTAAATTAATCAATTCCAGGAGTCAGAATGTCCAATAATTTATTTAACAGACATCATAGGTCCAGTTATTGGGGTAGCACACAGATAATGAAGCTTGTATATAATAGCGTAAGAGTACAAAAAAAACTAGAACTCATGAAAGGGACATTTACTTACCAAAGAACTCTGCATGTCTGTGGAGTTGGAAGAGAGAGAGAAATCTACTGAAAGCATCCTCTGATATACACAGCTGCATTTTTCTTCTTAGATGTGTGAAGTACTGGAGATGCCTATCAAAGTAATTCATTGAATACATTGAAATTGACAAATTACTTATTCAACTTTACAAAAATATTTGAACACATTTAAATTGTTTGTCCCATGGATGACTGCACTAATGAAGTTTGTAAACCAAGCATGCCCTCTGTATGAACTAAATACCTCAACAGCTTCTTATTATACTTAGAATAAAATCTTTGATCCTTACCATGGACCTACAATCCTAGGTATGACGCGACCCCTTCCTATCTCTCTAGCCAATCTATCCATGGCTTATTATATTTATACTGAATTTTATTTCTTTACTATTTCAGCTCTTTCCCAAATTTGTGTGGCACCATTCCCTCTGCTCTACTCTTCACCTGAATAATTTCCACATGTTGAAGCATGTACATAAAATTTATGTTAGGGTTTGTCAGGAATCTATCTGCATGCATAGCTGAGGATCCTCCTGAGACAATACCTCTATTAGGATAGGAAGCATCCAGCTACTGAAATGAACTCAAACCATTAGCATTATTCATTGCAATAAAAAGTGATTCTGCAAATGGCATGGGTCTATAGCTAGCATTTGTTTCGTTCCAACCCCACAAACTGAGAGAGTTGTGATTTAAAGATTGTTGTGTAAAATTAGTAATTGCTTTTTCTCTTCTGGGAAACTAGTTCACTATATAAAGAAAAATGAGTTGGATTCCTACTGTGTTAGATACTGCTAGTCACTGGTTCAATATCCATTTCCCCCTTCTTCTTTGCTGATTGAACTCTGATTTTATTTGGGGTGTCACTGTATCAGGTTAAATGCTTCCTTCTGCATCCTCCCTGAAAGCTCACAATATCCATGTGATAGGCACATTTATGGCTAATGACACATATGTAGGATGTTACTGGGAAAGATTACATTTTCTTGGGAAAAAGAATGGATATTCTTAAGATATTTCTCCCTTTCCTGTACCTTCCTCCTTTAAATGTGGACATAATGTCTGAATCTCCAGCAGCCATCTGCTAACAGTGAAATGACAAACATAAAGCAAAGGTCAAGAGATTCACAGAGATGCTGGCCTGATACTATTAAGCTACTGAACAACTCTATTAGATATTTATTTCCAATTGTACATGACCTTCCCCCATATAAGCGAATCAAATATGTTCATGAAGTCTAGATATGTGCTGTTTTTGTCTTCAAGAAACCACTGCTGTTTATGTGACCTCATGCTCCAGCAAACCTAGAGAACCCTTGAAGTTCCAAAACCATGTAGTGGTTAACAGTGAGGCAAAAGAGAATATCTCTTTCCTTACTATGTGTCATATTAAGTGTAAAATAATAATTGAGACATTTTCCTGAAACCCTCATTTCCAAATAAGCAGCAACTACAGAAAAGGCAGTGTACAACTGAGAACAAAGTTGCTAAATTCTGGAAGCTAAGACATTGACAGAAGCACATAAATGAAGGAAGTTTTAGGTCACCCCTCTCAGTCCATGACAAATAAAGTGGTTGAATATAATCAATAACAATATCGATGCCCTAAATAACATAAATAATAGGATATCTATAACTGATATTTATTAAACTCTTTATTCTGAAAATTTTAAAAAAGGACATGCGTTGTTTTTCAAGTTTCCATGAAACAGTCATATGGACTGGTTTCCAAGTCCTTAGTAGTAAGAGGGCTTCGAATAAATGTTAATTGTACAGTTTTACTAAAACTCTAGAGCTGCTCTGTCCAATATGATAGCCACTAGATACAAGTGGCTGTCTAAATTTAAATGTTAAAATTAAATAAAATTTAAATTTGAGTTCCTCAGTCATACTAGCCATATGTGGCTACTGAAAATCACAGATATAAAACATTTCCATCATTGCAAAGAGTTCTATAGAACAATGTTGCTCTACAGACTGAGCAACAGTCTGGCTTGGACAGTCCTCAGTATGCAATATATATACCTGATATGATTATCACTGGAAAGTAAGCTTCATAAGGTAAGAGATTTTTATCAGTATTGTACACTGCTCTATCTTTAATACATAGATAATAGTTTATACATACCTGGTGGTCAACAAAAAACTGTGTAGCGCATTCAGAGTCGTCAATTCAGTTAGATATACCATGAAATATGTTTTATTCTCAAAATTCCTTAACCTTGAACATTCAATCTGCCTAGAGCACACATCTCATTTTCATTCCATTCTATTCCTATTTAAATTTAGTCTAGTCTAATGATTTCTATAATCTCATCCACTTATTAAAATCTGTCTCATTCAGGAAAATATTCCATCAAATTCAAGTATTTTTATAATCACTATGCATAGTTTCCAGGTATGACACTCACTCTTGTCCTCTTTCTCTTTTCTTTTTATGCTTATCACTGATTCTCCTATCCTCACCTTCCCAACAGAGTGCAAATTCCAGGAAGACTCACTCTAACCTATCTCATTCAGGAATGGAGCTAGCAGAAGGGAGAGGAGATTTTGACTATGTGACTATCAATCCACTTAGAGTGGACAGGGCCTTCCCAATCTTGGTCTGCTTCTCCTACTATCTGTGGTCTTTGTTGTTACAGTGATCTTATTGTATGAGATCGCTCTATTTTCTTGGGGTTTCACCTAAGTCTCCTCCAAGAATCTCTTAAAAGAGATTCTTCAGCCTCCTCCCCAAATCTTCCAGAGAGACAATCACTGACTTTTCTTAATAACTACTTATTCTGCTTCATATTTTCAATATCTTTCTTTACTTATTTGAAAATACTTTCTATACTTACTTAAAATTTTTGTTTGTTTTATTCCATTAACTATTCCTCTAGAATAAATATTGTATTGTGCATATCCTTTTTTAATCCTATAAAACTCAGATGCTTGCTTATTTTTGTGACCTCATATTCTTTTGATAGTGTCAATTCCTTGGATGCTCAGAACAAGATGGTGGACTTGGATATATAATTTAGCATAGTTGACATATATATGATATCTAAAACCATGTAAATTGATGAAATCATCTAGAGAAAAGGTGTATAGAGGAAGACAAGAAAAAGATTATGACAGAATGTAAAAGAATTTTCATATTTCAAGGTTATTTCATATTTCAATTTTCATATTTCAAGGGAAAAGCAGAGGAATCCACAAAGAATACTGAGAGCCAGAGGGGTAAAAGAAACAAAGAGAGGTTGTAGTGTTACAGAGGCCAAGAATGTTTTAGCAAAGAGGACATGAGTATTGTGTCAAATTCATGTCAAATCTGGTTCAAGTAAAATAAAAAGTGAAAAACCAGAC